CCCTGGCTCGTGCACGGTGCCTCCCGGAGTCCCAAGTGCGAGGGCCCCTCCACCCGACCGCCCGGGTCGAGCGGGTCATCTTTCCTCCCTTTCTCTTCTCTTCTCTCTCTCTCCCTCTGTCTCTCTTTCTTCTTCACTCCCCTCTGTCCGGCCCCTTCGGCGTATTTTGATGTTGGCTTCAAGGGCAACCGGGCGAGCTCTGCGCGCGTGGGGCTCGCCGGCACTGGCGGCGGCGGCGGCCCGGTGGGGCTGGCCTCTGCCCAGGCGCGACACGCCGGCCCCCGGGGGCCCGGCAGCCCCGGCGTCCGGGCCCATGGCAGCCCCGGCCATGGGCATGGGGCGTCCGTGCGTGCGGGGGTTCTCCTCGGCCGGGGCGGCGCCTGGCCCGGGCGATGGCCCGTGCGCCGGGGAGCGCCTCTGCCGGGCCATCGAGGCCGGGAGGGAGCCCCTGCCGCAGGGGTTCGATGATGTGGCCCACTTCCGGCTGTTCTTGCGGCTGGTGGGAGATCCGCGGGAGGGTCGCCCGCTGGCGCCCTTGGGCACGCTGGGCCGGCTGCTGGGCATGGACCGGTCATCGGTGCAGGCGCTGCTGAGCCAGTATGGCCGGGAGTTTGGCATTGCGCCGGCCAAGCGGCCGCTGTCCCTCTTCCCGGAGCAGGTGGTGGGCCCGGGGGATCCGATCTTCGAGGATATGATGGGGCTGATTCGGCGGGACCCGCCGGTGCTGGGGGCCGCCCTGTCGCGGCTGCTGTGCCTGCTGCCGAGGCAGGTGGAGGGCCTGCTGGCGGAGCATGCGGCGGAGATCCTGGACGAGGCGGAGCGCGACCAGGGGGTGTGCATTCGCCGGCTGGGCCACCTGGTGACCGTGGCGCCGCCCCTGTCGAAGCAAACCATGGCCACGCTCCTTTCGACCAGCCTGCTGCAACTGACGGCGGCCATGAGAAGGCACTTCCCGGAGCATGGGGTGATGGTGGTGCCGAAGGCGTCGCCGGCCAAGCTGGAGGCCCTGCGGGCCGTCCTGGCCGACAGGACACGGGTGCCGGTCCCGCGGCTGGCGGAGATCTGCACGCTGGCGGACGTGTGCATATCCACCGTCGCGACGCACGGGCCGACCCTGTGCCCGGAGTATGTGGTCCGTCTGCGGGGCGAGCTGTCGCCGAAGAAGGTGGCCCGCTTGCGGGCACTGCTGCGAGAGCAATGCCACAGCATCAGGGCCATGAGCAGGGATTTGGGGCAGCCGGCGCGGTATCTTCGCTGGTACATCAAGTACTATGAGCCGGGGGTGGTGTTGCCTGCGGGCAATGACCAGCCGGTGTATGTGCTGGCGCTGCCGGACAGCTCGACCCGGCTGACGCTGGCCGAGTATATGCGGCGGTTTTTGCCGGCCGCCTCGCCGCTGCACGGGACCCGGGATGAGGACATCCCGGCCCGAGCGGCCAATTGGATGCCCGGGACCGTGGCCGATGACGGCGCGTCGGAGTCGGACGCCGAGGCGCCGGCGGCCCCGGGCCCGGAGCCGGGCCCGGGGCCGCCGGCGCGGATGTCGGTGCAGGAGCGGAACCAGGCGCTGGAGGTCCGGCTGCAAGGGCTGTGCGGGCTGCGGCCGGCGCTGTCGCCGGCGGAGGTGCTGGAGCAGATGGGCATCCCTTGGGTGCACATTGACAGGGCGCTGGCCTCCTTCGAGTGGCCGAAGGACCTCTGGGATGCCCGTCGGCGGTTGGCCAGCCGGGCGCCCTCGGACGAGGGGATCCGGCGGCTGCGGCAGCTGGCGAGCCAGGTGCACCCGTCGGGCCGGCGCATGCGCCATACGGTGCGGGAATTGGCCGCCGAGCTGGGCCAGGAGCCGGATGTGGTGTTCACCATGCTGCACCAGTATGCGCCGGAGTACTTCTTCCTGGCGGTGGCGCCGGAGGCCAAGTCCGGCCTGGGGGGGATCTACGTGCCGGAGGAGAAGCTGGCCGACCTGCTGGCGGCGGTGCATGGCCGGCACCCGGCGCCGGTGCTGCACCAGGTGGCGGCGGATCTGGGCTGCACCCTGCCGCAGGTGGTGAACTCGCTGCGGGCGGACGCCTTTCAGCGGGGCATCCAATTCAAGGCGCCAAGCTACGCGCGGCACCTGGCTTCGCGGACCTTTCAGGTGGAGCAGGTGCTGGCCCTGTACCCCGGCATGCAGGCTGCCCACATGTGTTCCATGTTCAGGGATCTGCTCCCCCACCACTTCTACCGGTGCCAGCGCTACATCGTGTCCCAGTGAATACACATACCCGCGCGGGGATGGGTG